TATCCATGTGTCTCATTGGCCAGAAGGAGCAAAGAAGACATTATTTAACGGAACACCAAGAAAAAAAGCCTTGTATCAGCAACAGCAAAACATGTCAAGGAATTTCATGACTTCTTTTTTCTGCATGAATCCCTGCCTTAAATCCCCTTGTTTGGAATGACCACCTGGATGGAATAGAATCCAGAACAATCCTTTCCTCTCTTGTAGTTTGGTTTCCAAGTGGAGAAGAACTTTTCAGGGGCTTTCCTTTCAGGGACCCGTTTGTAAAAATCATCCGGGCACTAGTTTAACTCGAGCCACAATAAGCATTTTCTTTATGTCCTTCTCCTGTGCCTGTCCTGGTGGGAGATCAAGGAACCATATTCTACATGTCTACCTCTTGCTGGGGAAAGGATGCTGTTCAGCTACCAGCTGAGCGCCTGGAGGCTGTAAGGGGCTGGATGGGGAGAAACCAGCTGCAACTCAACCCTAGAAAGGAGTGGTTGTGGGGTCTTTGGCCCCCGTGGTCAGGAGAGTTGACATCTCTGACTCTTAATGGGAGAACACTTACCTGGACAGATCTGGCCACGCAACATGGGGGCCATGGACTTACGGCTCCTGCTGGAAAAGCCTGTGGCAGTCACAGCCCTGAGAGCCTTTGCACAAATCCATCTTCTGCACCTATTGTGCCCGTTCTGCACTGGAAGGCCTTGCTCCATTTGGATTACTGCAATGTGCTTTACAGACCCCCTGGAAGCTGCAGCTGGTCCAGAATATGGCAGCACATGCAGTTTTGGGTGTCCCATGGTTCACCAGCATCACACTCCTTTGCGTGAGGTACACTGGCTTCCAGTTGCTTTCTGGCTGCAATTCAACGTGCTATCTATCACTTAAAAAGCCCTACATGGCAAAGGTCCAGATTATTTATTTATTTATTTATTTATTTATTTATTTATTTTGTCTGCGCTCAGTCATTGCTGAACCTGCAGTGACTGCTTGGACGAGTCCTTGCAGTTTCCAAGGTAACTGTCCTTCGGACGTGGTTTGCCAGAGCCTCCTTCCTAGAGCAGAGCCCAGCTGGCGAGCGCAGGAGGCG